TATATATATAATTAGAGAGAACTAACCAATAGGAGCAGCGCTCACGTTGAATATATATTTTTAACAATGAGAAAAGGGCTCTTTCAAAATCAGAGGCATTTTCTGACCAATAAAAATAGCTGTCAAGGGGCAGCTTGCTATGCAACACAAATTATTCTGCAAACCCAAAAATAGGGCATTATAAAAAAAAATATATATAAAAATTATATATATATAATTAGAGAGAACTAACCAATAGGAGCAGCGCTCACGTTGAATATATATTTTTAACAATGAGAAAAGGGCTCTTTCAAAATCAGAGGCATTTTCTGACCAATAAAAATAGCTGTCAAGGGGCAGCTTGCTATGCAACACAAATTATTCTGCAAACCCAAAAATAGGGCATTATAAAAAAAAATATATATAAAAATTGTACCGTGACCAAGGCAAGATCAACTCACAATAAATCCTTCACAACTGTAGGTTTCTGACTTTCCACAGTCAGTCGGCCAATTCAAAATTTCTGTGAGAAATTTTCTTGTTGATTATCAATCCACAAATCCATTGTCTGTAGTGATTATGTTCACAAGAGTCAAAGATGTGCCGGAGCCAATCTCAGCTGACTTTGGGAGCGAGTTGGAGAACACCCTGACTGGTTGCCAAACAATCACAGAGTCGCCCGTAAATCGCTAGTTGATTATCACAATGGTTGACTGCGTTCCCTGCAAATAAAAAGGCCTGCAACAGTGTTCACATTAATCCATTACCTGACCCTGCGCCTTCTCAAGACAGACATGGAAGACGCAGGCTTCTGTGGTCGCGGCATGACAGGAGTGGCAACAAATTTAGGATTAAGGGCTGGTGGTGGTTGAAGAGGCTGATGGTTCAAGGACTGAAGAAAGACAGATAAATTGAGTGATTAGTTAAAAAAAAAAAAAAAAAAAAACTTCATAATTAGGTTTTTTTGGCTTATATGTTACGTAAATGCAGAAATCACTAATGAAATGTTGCTATGGAGCAACTAACAGTGACAGAGAGTACAAATTGCCGTTTTGGATGCTACCAGTGTGTAAATACACATTAATGCCTGGATACTGCTGAGAGGTCCCTTATTGTAATTGAGTAGCAACCACTCTTTTACTATCAAAAACTAAATGGCATGCATGGCTGACTGAAAGTTTCTTAGTGAACTGGCAAAAATGATTAAACCATGCCGCTATGCCCAGACCGGCCTGGAAATACAACAGTTGTTCAGGAAAGTTAACATATTTCCCTGAATTTGGCCACAACATTCATCAAAGAGGAGACTCTGTGCTTGGTGGTTGCGCCTTCTCAGCAGCACTCCTGTACCAGCACAGATTTTGATTGGGAAGAATGTCGGCGCCATTTAACTGTCATTGCTGGACAGCTTCGGGGCGTTTGTGTTTTTTTGCGCCTGTAATGGGCAACATATTTCACAGCCCCGCTTTGTTCACCGGAGGTGTCGGTGCTGTTGGACGGTCTGTGGCTGGATGGATGGACGGCTTGTGGAGCCGACGATGAGAAGAAAGGAGCGTCAGCGCAGAGCGCAGATGCGTATGTGCAACTGGGAGTCGCGCCTTGGAATTGAAGCGGATTACGTGGGACAGGAGATGTGAGCCAATCTCTTTTCGTCAATGGACGCTACAGCTTCGTGTTTGCTTTCAAAACTTAGCTTGTAGCAGACGTGTGCACATTTTCAGCATGACGTCTCTGATCCACTGGTGAAAGGACTCTTTGATCCTCTCCTCTTTCATCTATAACTGCTTCAAACAACAAAGTGATTAAGATTGAATGACTGTCTGTGTCTAATGTGTTGTGTTATTTTGTTTCTTTCCAGCAGCTCCTATTATTTTGTTCTACGTCTTCCTTTCATAACTTTGCTGCTGTGAATTGGAAATTTCTCCATTGCGAGACTAATAAAGGTTTTCTTATCTTATCTTATAGATTGAAAAAGAAAGCATTAGATCCTTTGTCTTCATTCTAGGTTGAATGTGGGGGTAGATGACGGTTTGACCTGACAGACCCAAACATGTTACATGGGTCTGCTGGGAATGTCTGTTCGAAGGAATTCCAATCTCCAGCAAAATTTTGAGCTCGTCCCAGAGGGCTCAATTGCTGTCGTAAGGTTGTCGGTGCCTATTGTGGCAGCAATCTCCGAACCTGTTGGTGGACAACAGCGGTGAGGGCATGCTGTCAAGCTGAAGAAGGAATCCTATCGGGCCTTTTAAGTCTGTAAGACTCCGGAGGCAGCCGATGGGTCCCAGCTGACCAAGCGTAAGGTTGCTGAGGCAAAAATTGAGGTATATGAGTTTGATGAAGCCATGGAGAATTACTTATGGACAGCTGTGAGAAATTCTTTTTCATCATCGGGCATCTCAGGAGGTGGAAGCAGTGCCCATCAATGTTATGCACAGTACAGTATGTTTGGGGAGCTACTGATGGAAAAAACTGATTCCAGTGAGGACCAAACCGGTGGTATTTCGGTGAGTGGTTACTTGGCAAATCACTCATGGAAAGACTTTAGGAAGTGATCCGTTCATTCAAGTTCACCCAAAATTAACAATCACAAACGACGACACTAAGAGCATTAGTTTATGTGTGGGTGATACCTACCCTCTTTGACCACTTAACAATTGGTTTTCCGGTGTAGGATTTTTTGGGATCATCATTAGCATGCTCCTTTAGGAGTGCCTGCAAGACAGTGAATATTGTTAGAACAAGAAGCATGAAAAGCATTTTGAGCAGATGTTATCGTGCTGTCAACTTGTGCCTCCAAATTCCAAGCAAACAAGCTGGGGAAAATATGTAACCTGAATGTCGTGGAGTCAATTCCTTATAAAGGAACAAAGGAACAAATTACTTGAAACGAATAATTTGGGTAACTGATCAATTCCTGTTGCACAGCAGTTATTGGGAGTCTGGTCTAGTACGCCACCTCTAAACCATAAACCACACACACACACACACACACACACACACACACACACACACACACACACACACACACACACACACACACACATGCACACGCACACATCCTTGTATCACTGCAACTTGTGCCTATTTGCCTGTACACCCATACCAGCAGATACTGCGACAGCTGTGCTGTTCCCTGCTTGCATCTGCAATGGGATTAAAGCTAAATCATTTCATTGTGTTCTGTCCAACAAAGGGCAGAGCATACTCCAGTTTAACTACACCCATAGTGTCCAACCTAGCCGCTCCAACATTATGGTCCGGGATGTTGTCCTCCAGGAGGCGGACCTGCACTTCACAGAGTGGCAGAGGTACAGTGCCGTGACAAAGTATTTGCCCCCCTCCTGATTTCTGTTGTTGCATATCAATCACACACAAAGGTTTCAAATCTTCAAACCAATTTTAATATCAATTTATTCAGGCACTAAAAATAAAAAAAATAAAAAATCCAAACCTGTCTGACCCTTTGTGAAAAAGTAATTGCCAGCTGAACATAATAACGGGTTGAGCCACGCTTGGCAGCAATAACTGAAATCAAGCATTTACAATAATTGGCGATGAGTGTTTCACATCACTCTGGGGGAATTTTGTCCCACTCTTCCTTGCAGAATTGTTTCTATTCGGCCATATTGGAGGGTTTTCCAGCATGAACTGCCCATTTAAGGTCACACCAGAGCCTCTGAATTGGATTTAAGTCTGGACTTTGACCTGGCCACTCCAAAACCTTAATTTCGGTTTTTGTTTTTTGAGCCATTCAAAGGTGGACTTGCTGGTGTGTTTTGGATCATTGGCCTAATCCAAGAGCGCTTGGTTTTGAGGGCATGAACTGATGGCCGTATGTTCTTCAGGATTTTCTGGTACACAACAGAATTCATTGTTCCATCAATCACAGCAAGTTGCCCTAATCCTGAGGTAGCAAAACAGCTCCAGACCATCACACTGCTACCACCATACTTTACTGTTGGCAAAATGTTCTTTTTATCAAATTCTGTGCCATTTTAACGCCAGATGTAACGGGCCACACATTTTCTAAAAAGTTTAATTTTTGACTCATCATTCCACAGAATAATTTTCCAAAAGTCTTGAGGATCATCAAGATGTCTTTTGCAAAATGTGAGATGAGCCTTTGTGTTCTTTTTGGACAGCAATGTTTTTCACCTGGGAACTCTCCCATGAATTTTTTGTCTGGTGTCTTTCTTATGGTAGAGTGGTGAACACTGATCCAAACCGAGGTCAGCAAGGTCTGGAGTTCTTTGGATGTTGTTCTAGGTTCTTTTGCAACCTCCTGGTTGAGTCGTACTCACACTCTTGGAGTAATATTAGCTGGTCGACCAGGCCTGGGAATGTTTGCCACTGTTGCACGTGTTCTCCATTTGTGAATAATGGATAATCTTGGAAATGGCTTTGGAACCTTTTCCAGACTGATAGATATCTATAACCTTTTTCTTCTAATTTCTTCTCAAATTTCTTTGAATGGCGACATGATGCGTTTGTTTCTTGAGATCTTGTAGTCTCCTTCACTTTGTCTGACAGATTCTATTGATGTGATTTTTTGATTCAACAAATGTGGTGCTAGGGTGTTGCCTGTGAAATTGAACTCACCTTTCCCAAAACTGTGGTTAGTCGCGGTTATTTTGTGATTCAACAAGGGGTGGGGGGGGGTACTTTTTCACAGAGGGTCAGAAAGTTTTGAATTTTTTTTATTTGTGGCTTCAGAAATTGAATTGTCATTTGAAAAATGCATGCTGAATTTCATTAGGTTGTCTCTGAGTGATAGTAAAATGGGTTTGATGATTTGAACCTGTGTGGATAGATGTGCCCCCCCCCCACGCCCTCCAAAAATACATTATACGCCATGTAGCCAAAAATATTTAACAGAGATTGGGATGATCTTTTTCTACCCCAAGACCTCCTTTAAGCATGTAACAGCTACCATGAGCATACTGCCTGCATCATTCTCACCCATGATGTTCACATGTTCTCGTATGCTTATCAGTGGCGTATCTGAGGACAAGCGACAAGCAAAGTTGAGTCCACCTGTTCTTCCTTCTCACCCGCTCAAGAGTTGCACCCAAGCGTCTCCCCTCCATGCCCAGATTGGAGATGTGTGGACCCGTCACTGGAGCCCAACTGGCTAACCTCATTAAGAAGGAGCTCATGTTAGGCTGAAGATTTTTCAGTCCATCCTGTGGACAGACTCAACAACGGTTCTAACGTGGCTGCAGTCAGAGTCCTGCCGCTTTGTGGGCACCAGAGTGGCAGAGATACAAGAACTCACCAGCCCTGATGCCTGGCGCTACGTAGACTCAGATAGGAACCCTGCGGACAATATCACAAGGGGCAAGAGACTGCATAACCTTGTGAAGCCAAACAGGTGGACGCAACCCCAAGAAGATTTGCCAGTTAGGCCGATGTTGATTAGGATGACGCCTCCTGTGATCTGAAGAAGTCTGCCTGCTGTTGTGTCACTACAGTCACAGTCTTCTACTAGACTCCTCATCCAAGACTAGTTGTCTGCGTCATCCTGGGATGGACTGTTTCGAGTCATTCCAAGTGAGAGGTGGGTTATTTTAAATGTCTCACCACCAGAGGTGTAAACTTACATCTTCTGAACACAATAGACAGTGACTCATTCCTGATGGCTCTCAGGAGGTTCGTTGCTTGCTGAGGGACACCATCCGAGCTGTATTCGAACTAGGGAACCAGCTTCCAAGGAAGAGAAAGGGAGCTTGACAGGCATTTACCGCCCTGTCCCTAGAGCTACAGCAACAGCTTGCGCCAAGCAGAAGATCCATTTTCATTTCAACCTGCCTGCAGCACCCCACTTTGGAGGAGTGTGGGAGTTGTAAATACGTTCAGTTAAGGCGGCTTTGTACACCACAGTGGGAGCCCCATGGGAAGTACTAAGGACTGTGCTGCTTGAAGTGGAAGGAATCCTCAATTCCAAAACGCTGGGTTATGTCTCATCCAGCCTCAAGGACCTTGATCCCGCGATACCCAATGTCCTGCTGATCGGGCGGCAGGATGGATCCTTACCCGAGATTGTGTATCCAGAGACTGGCCGCCATCACTGGAGGCACTCTCATTTCTGGCCCAGCTTCCTTCAGAACTATCTGCCGAGCCTGCAGACATGCCAGTAATGGCATTCATCTAGAGCCAGTATCACAGAGAGCGCCATTGTGATGCTTGTGGACCCACAGCTTCCAAGAGCTATGTGGCCCATGGCCAGTGGCACCAACGTTAAATCCCAACACTAATGAGCACGCTCACTTTGCAGGTGTGCAGATCAGTGATCGTAACTACACCAGACCGGTGGCCAGGTTGGTTGCTCTTCCAGTTCTCTCTGCTGGTGAGAAGGACATCACTACTATCAAGACCAGCCAGCCCTAAATCATTGGAGACTCGGACACCTTTTTTTAGGAGCAAATGTACTTTGTACATTTGGGGGGGGGGCGGCTGTTAAAAAGGTTCTAAATGTTGATGTTGATTGTTATTATACTGTACAGGGTGATTAAAAAAGAATGACCCTATTTCATGATCAAATATTTCGCAAGTAAATGTATGAATAAGAATGAGGGAGTGGGTGTTTGAAAGATCAGATTTTCCAGTTTTCTATAATTGTCGTGTGACACTGACAGACTCATGCGTCTGGCAAATGGATTCACTTTTCAAGATGGGGCGCCTCCCCACTGGAGCTAATTAGAGCATTTTTAAATGAAACACTTTCTCAGCAATGGATTGGTCGGACAGGGGCGCAGGACATTGCTTTGTCGTTGGCTTCCTAGATCTCCTGACCTCACAGTATGTGATTTTTTTTCCTCTGGGGGTTTGTAAAAGATAAAGTCTTTGTTCCATCATTACCAACTGACCTGGAAAACGTAAAACACAGAATAACAACAGCGATCATTTCAATTGATCCTTATGTGCCTTAACTTCTCATATCGAATTGATGTTGTTCGTGCTGCAAGGAGAAGCCATATTGAGCACTTGTTACATGTGAAATAAAACTTGACTGTTAGTAGAATACTTTTATTATAAGTGTTATGTTTTCCTATTTTTCCTTCATAGAATATTTGATCATGAAATAGAGTCGTTCTTTTTTAATCACCCTGTATATATGAAGAGTATAGGTACGTTATTTGCCCCTTACATGAAATGTGCAATGCATTTTGGACAACTCGTCACGACCTGTTGCGCAGTAGTTATTCGGCAGTCTGGACTGCTTCACCGCCATTATTGGATGTGTTCAGTGCTGCAGTAGTCTGGTGTGTACATGACCCACAAACCGCGCACACGCACACACACACACACACACACACACACACACACACACACACACACACAGCCTTGTATCACTGCAACTTGTGCCTGTTCGCCTGTATGTCTGTACCCGCACATATTGTGACACGTGTACTGTTCCCTTGTTGTGTCTCCAATGGGATTCAAGCTGCCAAACCACATCTTTGCTCTTTCATTGTGTTTGGACCGACACTCGGGGGTGGACAAGGTACACTCCAATTGGACTACACCTATACTTTCCAACCTAACCTCTCCAACTGATATCTTTGTTTTTTTTGCTATAAATTAGTAGTGCGGTTATGCGGAGGCATCTGGTGAGCTATTATTGGTGGGTTGCAAACATTGCCATAATTGGTGGTGCAGTCGACCCGATGCACCACTCCTCCCTACCTGTCGGAACATGTCGACTCACTCTCCCGCGCTGAGGCTCAAGTGTATTTAATGAGTGCTGTGATATTTTAGGAATACACTTAAGCAGGTTAACATTATTTTATTCTTTTTAATTCACCTTGAGCTCTGCCTGTAGTCAGGATTTATGATGCAATAATTTTCACTCTGGAACAAATTATTTCAGATTTAATTCATCTCAATGGGAAGTGTTGTAGAACAGATTGTAGCTTTTAGGTTACTGTAGGCTAAAGCAATATTTTACAAAGGAGGTCAAATTAAAAAAAAAGTGTATGGATTCCACACTAGAAATAGTCACAGCTGTAATAATTTCAGATGCCATCATTTATCTCTCACACTGTTACCTTAATGTGTGTGATGAGTGCAGGGGAATTGTGTATGCCTGGTGGGACACACTTCTTGTTGGATGGGAGTGACTCAAGTTTGCCCACCAAGTTCCAAAGCCCTTCTAGCTCCAACGGAGTCAAATTAACATTCGCTGGTTTGTCCAACAGCTGTTCTAAAACATCATCTTCACTGACACTCTTATCTTCTTCCGCCATATTCTCAAATGCTGGATCTGTGCCAGAGAGTATATTTAAATTAGAGAAGAGGAAAAAAAAGTTATTTGTTGCTGGATATCTACCATAAAGCAAATGTTTTGTCTTTGGGTTCATACCAATGTCCAGAGACAATTTCTGGAACTCTGGTGTGAGGTAAGAAGTCTTGGTCAGACTGTAGCTATAGCGCTCCAACACATACCAGCACATCTCGTAAAAAAATGGGTGACGGAACTTCACTGGAACCTGTGAAAGTAGCAGAAGTTAATTGCACAATGCTGAACATATTTCTTCATGTCAGTTTTTCACAGCACTCCTACCCGTGTGCGGTCCTCTATATTGCAAATGTTAAGTTGCATAGGAATGTTAAAGCTGTGAAGGAAGTTTCCACCAAAGACAATAGAATCCACAGGGGTGTAGACTGCATGAATCCAACCTATCAAAAAGCAGATATAAATTTTTGCAAACATAAGATTTATTCATATCTGTGGTTATATTTACCTGATGGTATGATAAAGGTGCATCCTTGTCGAAGTTCAATCCTCTGGCAGTCAGAAGCACGATCCCCAAGAAAAATATCCGATTGTTTTCCCGACAGCACCCAGTGTTCATATAACTCTAAGTTCTGAGCGGTGGGAGGGATCAACCAGAATACCTGACAACATCATGTACAGATACATGACTTAAATGTTCATGGGATGCAATAATGGGCCTTTCAGTGAACTAATTGGTTGAGAGCTAAAGGGAGAATTTTACTGGTAAGAAAAAGAGTGTTCTATGCTCTGTCAATATCTTCGGGACTAATCACCACTATAACTCTCAAAGCAGAGGCTGACAAATTAATTGTATTGTCATTACTGACGTACCTTGCTCCCTCTTAGAACATGGTACCACACGGATGTTCCTCCAAAGTCAATGTGAAAGTCTGTATAGCATCCCTCCACACTCATCAGACAGTACCTGTGAAAGAATACCATACATACATTTTTCAGAATGGAAACATTCATGTCATGAATAGATAAACAAGGGAGCCGTTACTTTTGTACTTTGGGATACTGCATATCACTGATTGAGTTGGTTGAGTCCCTTTGTCTTTCTTTCAGGTGACGGGGCCACATGTTGTCAACCCAGTCTATAAGATCAAGCTACAAAAGAGGGAAAAAAATCGAATTGCGTTACAAGTGTACTTCCATGAAACAATAAATTATATAAATTCTAATCAAAGTAAATGAAATACAAAACAATACAATACATCCTGGTTTATATCGTGCTTTCACAACAGCTGCAGCTGTAAAAAAGTGCTGAACAAAACAGTTAAGATAAAGTAAAATAATAAACACAACACAACATAAAACACAGACAGTCGTGCCATCTTAACCACTTTTCCCCTCATACGCTTTGTTGTTTAAAGCAGTTTGAGATGAAAGAGGAGAGAATCAAAATGTCCTTTCACCAGTGGATCAGAGACGTCATGCTCAAAATGTGCACGTCGGCTACAAGCTTAAGTTTCAAAGTCAACAAGAAGCTGTAGCATCCATTGACGAAAAAAAGAGATTGGTTCACTTCTCCTGTCCCATGTAAATCCATTTCAATTCCAAAGTGGTGACTCTCAGTTCTAAATACACATCTGCGCCAACGCTCCTCTCTCCTCATCCTCAACTTCAGCAGCCATCCATCCAGCCGCACCAACGCAGACTGTCCAACAGCGCCGACATCTTCACTCAACAAAATGGGGTTGTGAAAAATGCTGCCCATTACAGGCGCAAAAAACACAATCACCCCGGGGCTGTCCAACACCGACAGTCAAATGCGGCCGACATTCCTCCCAATCGAAATCAGTGCTGGTACAGGCGTGCTGCCGAGAAGGCACAACCACCAAGCACAGATTCTTCTCCTTTGACGAATGTCGTGGCGAAAATACGCTGAAAACAGTCCACATCAGGTCCACACGATGAAACAACAAACACCATGTGACAAAACAAAAGACAAAATCAACAAAAAAAGCAAGGCTCGTGAAGAGCACTTGCCGACGGCTGCCCAATCGGGCGCCATCTTGGATAAAAACAATAATAATAAAAAAATGAGAGGCAACTCTCATCTGTCACTGAACGAATGGTTTCTGACAGATGTAAAGCTCAAGTTTTTATTACGCAAGAGAAAAACAAAATAAATTAGGTCTGTGAGCAGATAAAGGGCCCCCACAGCACTGGCCACATTGGAGGGTATTGGCATGTTGGGATAGTGGCAGAATGTAACTTTTTTTTTTTTAAACTGCACAATGAACTAATTTAATATTGACTACTTTTCTCGGTGTGATGCGTGTTGAAAGTTTGTTTTCCCAAATGTTAAGACCATCAAAATCTGTCATCTTTCAGGCAAACAGTGCGTCGCCATGGTAACAGCATTCGTCAAAATAAAAAACTGCTTTTCCTGTTAGTCTTGAACATCTTAGCATGAAACAGCCACAGTATCAAGACAATCATATTAAATCCCGAGGTGGAGTTTAAAAAAAAATGTGACTTTTATTAAAGGCCAAAAATGGGTCCAAATGTGAAAGAAACTTCACAATTTCCTGTGTGGCTCCAGAGCCTTTTTTGTAGGGCTTGGACTGTTACATGTACATACCTCAAAAATTTCATCATTCTTGGTGTCACATACAACCAGCGCTGGTAAAATTTTGTAGGGGGCATTGTTGAGCCATTTTTTAAGAATTGCACAAGAACCTCATTAAATACTGTTGCTGTTGTCAGGCCTGATGTATGCATATTTAGACTCAATAGTAGTGTTTTCACACTAAAGAAGACATTTATTTCCTGGAGCCCAGGGGTGCGGTCAACTGTTCCGTGGACTGACCCCAAGGCGACCGCGAGGTGTGTTGGAAAAAAGAAAAGAAAAAAGTCTTTTTTTTTTTTTTAATGACATGACAGGAAGTCAGTGTCGCCAAACTTAGCGACTTTGACACTATATTTAGTGAGTATTCAGATCCTCTTGAGCGACTCTTTTTTTTCAAAAAAGTGACTAGTAACAATCTAGCGACTTTTTCTGGTGTTATTGGAGACTTTTGGAGTCTGTGTGGTGAAAGCACGTTGTTCTCATGAGCAGCGCCGGGAGCTGTTGTGGCCCCACCCCCAAATGAAGCCACTGCTGGCTGATCGCGCCAGGTATCACAATTTGGGCTGGATGTAAATGTATAACTTTTCTTTGTCTGAAATAAATTTAAAAAACATCAACAAATAAAAATTACAAAAAAAAGGTAAGAAAGAGAACATCCCCCCCAAGTAAATCACATACACTGATGACATCATTGGGTGATGTTTAGGACAGCCAATAGCTACTTTCCTTACCGATGAGTTGGAAACGCTGCTGGAAGTTAACAGCTGTTAACAGTAGCGAGCAGCTAGCGATTACAGCGGTTCTTTGGCTGGTTCAATGCGGCTCCCGGGCTTTCACACGACAAGCGTTGAAAATGCCTCGGCGGTGGCAACGCCATTCAAACAACGGCGCTAAATACACAGGACGTACTACGTCAGCCTATCATCAATCCCGTCCGTTACTTGATTGACACAGAGGGCAACCAATCAGATGAGTGAATCACCACTCATGCGCAAACAACCGCGCTAAACGCTAAGCTAGTCAGCGAATTACCTCTGATGTCAAGGCAGGGGTGCCCAATACGTCAATTGCACTTGACCAGCGGACTGGTCCCAAGTCGACGGCAAGGGGTGGGAGGAGGAAATGGAGGGGTGGGGGGAGAAGACGCAGGAGTGCGTGTGCGTGCGAGTGAGTGTATGTGCATGCGTGTGTGTGCATGCTTGCGCGTGCGAGGATGGAATGCCCATGTGTATGTGGCTCTTTGCAGAAACACAGTAAAAAAAAATTGCTCTTTGTCTCTTACTGGTTGGCCACCCCTGGCTGAGAGGAAACGATACAAGAACTACCATTTTCCACCACTGAATTACCAATGAAGAGCGACTCACCATTTTGCCATTAAAAGTACACACCAGGGGTGAGGATATTTTTAATGCTTTCATGGGATTTGTAGGCGGGACAAAACAGTGGCTTTTAGATTTATCTTTCCTCACTGATCTCACTGGCCAGTTCAATGAATTGAATTTAGAGCTGCAGGGTAAGGGTAAAGATGTAGTCAACATGATGAGTTCAGTGACCATATTTAAAAGCCTGATGTCCAACCGGCTGCGGCTTGGTAACTTGTGCAACTTCCCTCACATGCAAGCAGAACTACAACATCAAGGGAAAGGTGTGACACAGCTTGACAGTGCACGTTATGAGGAGCATTGTTCAGAGCATCTCGTCAGAGTTTGAGAGGCGTTTTACTGACTTTGCATCCATCGAGCCTATAGTAGTCAGCTGTATGTGTTATCCATTTGGTACAAATATTGACGTTGGTGACATTGCCGCCAAAGTCAAATCACTTTTCGACTTTGAAAGCCCCACTCGAGGATGAGATTCTGAGATTGCAAAATGACATGAAGATCAAAGCCAGCCCACTGAGGTGGGAAGTGGTTTCCTTTTTTCAAACAGAGATCTACCAGTTTTGTAGCTGGTTTTTTTCTGTTTGGATCATATTTGGTTCTATGTAGGAAAGCCAAATGGCTTGGCCCTGGGACTTTTAGTGTTTTAATTAATGTGTGTGTGTTTCAGATGTTGACACTGGACTGGTAGATCTCCGGAGGTTAGCTCCTTGAAAAGTAGCCCTTGGGACAAAAAAGGTTGGGCACCCCTGATGTAGAGCATACTCAATGTCTTGAGGCTTTTCAAATAAATTTCCAGTTGGATTCATTCAACTACCTTCATCCATAACATAAAACGTAAAAAAATGACATTCCTAGTCTAGTCCGGGAATAGTAGTACTCAGTAGTAATAGTAACAGTACTTAGTAGTAGTAATGTCACTTAGCTGTGCTACTTTGTAGTAGTAGTATTTAGTCGTAGTAGTGGTAGTAGATAGTAGTAGTACTCCATAGTACTAGTAGTAGTATTTAGGAGTAGCACTTCGCAGTAGTAATGATATTCACAGCAGTACTAAGTAATATTTTGTAGCAGTAGTAGTTAGTAGTCAAACTAAGAGTATTTAACACAACTCAACTGTATTTATAGAGCACTTTAAAACAACCACCACTGCATACAAAGTGCTGTACATGGAGCAAATATATATACAACAATAAAAAATAAAACAAATTCATAACAAAGACAGTAGAATGCACAAAACAGTAAAATTAAGATCAAGTCTGAATCATGCTGAGTCAAAAGCCAAAGAATAATAATAATTAATACTAATAGTACTTAGTCGTAGAAATATTACTTAGCAGTAATTGTAGTACTTACAACTAAAAAGTCATAGTACTTAATAGTAGAACTTTCTAGTACTACTTAGTTTAGTAGTAGCAAGGAAACGTAGTAGTAGTACTAGTAATAATAATAGTAGGAGTAGTAGTAGTCCTTAGTGGCAGTAGTAGTACTTACTAGTAGTAGAACTTACTAGTAGTTGAAGTACTGCATAGTAACATCAGCACTTAGAGGTAGTAGTAATAGTACAATAATACCCTTAGTTTTTAGCAGCAGTATTAGTAATATCATTAGTCGTACTTCGTCCATGGACTGAAGAAACCTTTTCTCTCTTTCAATTGAGATCAATGAGCAGATGGACGTAGTCTCCTTTGACATCAACTTCTGCAAAGAGGACAAAATCCCCTCAAGGAACACTATCTTCCCAAGAATAAAGCTGGGGTCACAGCATCAAGGAGCTAAAGGAGATAATCCATAAGAATGAACACGCGTTCTGAATCTGAGATGAAAGAGCTCAACCACGAGGTCAAAAGCCATCAAGATTTCCAAGCTATAAGAATAAAGTGAAGAAATGTATTCAGGTCAAGGGCCAAGCACCTTGGCAAGGTCTGAAGAGGATAATGAGATCAGCACATTATTGAAAACATGGAGAAATGAAATTAAATGTACATTTTGTTTTTTTAGTTCATATATTTATTCATTGATGTACATACTGTGGAAGGTCTCTTGACCAGATTTTCCATCTTTGTGTGGCTAAACTCCAGGCTGATGACATTGTAGAGCTTCTCTCGCTGAGATGGAGAACTCTCATAGTACCGTGTCCACTGGGCCATGGACATCTCTATCCCCTTCTGAGTGCTTACATCCATGACATCAATCATACGTCTGCTACCTGAATAGAGAGTGAAAAATCAATGACTATATATTGACCTGGAAATGAAGTTTTTTTTTTTTTGTTTAATTAGTACTTATTGAAAACTATTTTACTCAAAAGAATTGTCTTGTCAGTTAGTTTTACATTTTCACAGTTGGACTGATTGTGCTCCATATATAAAACCAAAGAAGCTGACCACACACGCAAGGATGCTATCCCCGATCACCACCTCCAGGAAAATTGAGGATGTTGTGTCAGCAGTATTTGCAGCCAAAAACAATGCCAGAAAGATTAAGAAATCCTATACTTTCTTTATTAGTGCCCGAGCAGCAAATGATGCAAGGTCTCAATTGTTTTTGTCAAAATTATTAGTAGTAGTATTGGGATGAGTAAAATAATTTGTATTCGTATTAGTATAGCCCCGGGAGTGACCGCTGCAAGATCCCTATTATAACTGAAATTATTTCAAAGGCCTGAGCAGTGCCTTTGACAAGGTCCTTATTATTAGGGCCTGAGCAGTGACCACTGCAAGGTCACAAATTTTTTTGTAGAAATTATTGTAATTATTATTAGGGCACCAGCAATGATGCCGGTGGGGCCCCTATTGTTTTTGTACAAATTATTATTATTATAATTTTATTTTTTTCCCGAGAAAAAGTCATCAGAATTTGGGGAACCGAAACAAAAGGTCTGATGAAAATTTGACATTTTCAAGTCATCATAAGCGATGAAAAGCAGGGGAAAAAAAACAAAAAAAAAAACAATCCTGGTTTGTGGCAGCCCGAGGCGTACAAAAAAGTCCATTGCAGCCAAAGTCTAAAATAACTAGGAAGTGTGCCCTGAATTTTTAAGGTCAATTTTGCACATTTGCAGGGGTCATACTTTTGCATATTGTCCTAAAGGACTCATCCAAATAACTTCAAAGCTAGGCTGAGACAACACCAGGGGAAAAAAATTTTGACTTTTCAAAATACTACATGGGCATCAAAGATTGCATTTAATATTTCTTTCGCCACAAAGGAAGAAATCCTTAACTGCTGAAAAAAAAAAAGATGAAATATATATGCAATGTTTCAGTAATTGTGTGTTTATGGTAATAAATAGCAATATATTTAACAATAACATTTGAAAACAAAATATTAACATTTATGTTTCTGAATATCAACTTTGGCAAGTAAAACATCATGCACTTAGATAGAATGAGCGTTAGGGGATAGAGTAAAAATTAAATACATGTATAACGTTTTATATATAATGTATGAATAATACAAAATAATTACAACGTTCGACATTTGAAGCAAAAGTCTTTGCAATGAAATGCACGTGGAACAAAGTTAAACAGTAATACCTACAAAGAAGATAATGTTGGTATTGGAACTGGGCGATATGACGATATGTATCGTGATGTCAATAGAAATGACTCTCTCGTGTCATATTCCTCCTACCGTGCTAATCACCAATCACAGCTTGGCTTGCGAACGTCACATGAGCCGTGATTAGTTGTTACAAGGCCCCTGAGCACTTGATGATATTTTCAGTCAATGGCAAGTGGCAAACTACATTTTTAAACGTGTCAGTATTACTTGAAAAATAATGAAGTTAACAAATGTATTATAGACAAAGGAACTTTTTAACTTTTTACTGCTGAAAATTGCTGAGTGTCCCTATAATTATTAGGGTATACGATGAATTGCACTTGCAATATAACAGCGATTTGATCGTGCATGATTTTGTAATTGCAAAGACTACAGAGGGCAACTTTGCCAAAAAACGCCTATGGAAAGGTGCGCCCAAAGTAAATGTGTTGCTGTTCTTGAACCATTTGGAGTATCAGCATAGTTTTGGTCTCTTTTTGAAATATTCAAAATGTTATTATTATGAATATTTCTCCCATACAGTAAGAATCTGTGTAAGTGCTCCTGTCACTGAACTATGGATGTTCGAAAACAGAAAAAAAAGGCGACTCTTATGTTCGTCTAATTTCTTTTCACAAAATCTGCATTGAAAATGGATTTAGAATGTTGATTAGGACTTGAAAACACTACAGGATCAAAGCTTGAGGTCTCCCCAAGTTCCGGTTCAAATTCGACAATTGTAACATGTAGGGTACCATTCAAATCTACAGAAACTCAGCTTTTAAAAGATGTATAACATGTTCACAAATGTACTCAGCTGACGACGTGCATCAGCGATTTGTTTTGACAGATGACGGAGGGCCCTTTGTGGGCCCTCCTAAGTTTAAGGGTTTAAATGATAATTTTCTCATTTTTGTCGCGAGCCACTTGGGAGTTACATCTTCTCTCGGAGGGCCATTACCACAGTGAAACCGAATAAATGTTCAATCATCTCATCCTATTATTACTTTGACACAACAAAAAGGATTACTAGTTTTGAAAACACTCAAGTCAACTATTTGTGTGCTGTTTGCTCACTTATTGTTTAAGTGAGTGTAAACAGGGTAACAAAATTATTGCAAAATTACAATGTTTATTCCACATGGCAATTTGACATTTTGGTACAGATTTTAAGAAGGATCATGGAAGTTGACACCCCTGATTTGCTTTTGCGGGCCACATAAAATGACTGGATCTGGACCCGGGCCTTAAGTTTGAAACCTGTGCAATTGTTCGGGGTTTTAATTTCAGCTCGGCAGAGCAAAGTCTGGGCACGCCTGGTATTAATACTACACATTTGCGATACGAGAATGAAGTTATGGCTTACCAACAAACATCTTGACATCACTAACACTGAAGTTTGGATCAGGCATCCTATGAAACAAGAAAAAAAGATGTTACTATGCTCACTTTATACAACAAATTATGAGTGTTACAAGTGTAGGGGAGAGGAGCAGAGAGAAGTGAAGAAAAAAGCGGGTAAAAAAACATACTTGAGTCCTAGTCCATCAATTTTCTCAAAGATGATTGGGTCTCTCAGGCCACTTCTTTGGATGAGTTCATATGTTAAATCTAAAAGACAGACATTTCAAATACAAATGTTATATGCTATATATTTCAGATAGTGCTGTCAAGCGATTAAAAAAAAGGGCAATTAATTAGGGTCTGTAATTAATCTATATTTTAATCTCATCTAAAAATGACTGAGAAAACCCCTATTTTCTTTTTAAATTTGTTACATTATTGAGGCAGATCAAAACATAAAAGAAAAAGTGGCATTATAAAGTATTTTATTGTTTTTCAGCAGACTTGGACAGATGCAGTCCTAGCTGTTTACTTTCTTATGTATTTGAGACTAGTCAAAGTCCTACCTGCAACCTTTAGTTTCGACTACGAGGGGGAATATCACTGTTTTGTTTGTTTTTGTAAATCTCCAAAGAATTACAAAATAAAAATAAAATAGAATATCAGGTCCTTAGAAAGTGCTTAGGTTAACATATCAAAAACAGTAAGAACAATTTTCTGAGCAATACAAGAAGTCAACACTGAACTTGTTTCAGATAATAAACAATAAAACAGACCCTTAAATCACAGTGCTGTAAGTTAGCACTTCAGAAATAACACTGTTCATCATGACAAACTAAAAGCGCTGAAGTAAACATCAATCACTTCTAGTAGTCTACAGAGGACACATCAACTATGCCTCGTACGTGGGGTGTTCTCGAGTTTAGTTTGCCGAAGAGCTTTGCTATGTATGGCTCGCTCGCTATATTGCTAACGCTTTTGGTGCTAATGTTAGCCGTGGCTGCACTCATGACTGGGTGCTTTGCATTGATGATGTAAATTTTCCATTCATTGTCCCGAGAACTCTCACATGCTCCTCCATTTTCATCTCTCCACTCCTCAACGCTGCTTACTAAGCCCACCCAAGTCCAATGGGAGCCTATCAGCTTCGGCTAAACAAGCCCCAACATAATGGCAGCCAATCAATGTCCGCTTCAGGCTGTGACTGACAGTTGTTTCCCCACCCTCAACAACTCGAACACAGGAAGCCAACACATAAAAAGGGCTTAGAAAATGGCAACCCACCTACAGAAATAATAAAGGCAGAGATTAAAATCTAGATTAACACGATAAAATAAATAACGCACTAAATGTTCTATAATTAATTAATCGCAATTAACGCGATAGTTTGACACCTCTAATTTCAGATAATATTTTTAATCACTTCCAACAAATACAACACAGTACAGTGTTCACAGAAACGACCGGCGAACTACAAGGAACAGATGGCCACCTTCCGCTCATACTGCCGTAAAAAGATTGCTGACAAACACATCCAACCCAACCACATCACCAACATGGATGAGGTGCCACTCATTTTCGACATCCCGGTGAACCACTCCGTGGAAAAGAAGCGGACCAGCATGGTAACGATACGCACAATGCGGCACGAGAAGTAAGCTTTGACTGATGGACAGAAACTGCCACCGACGGTGATTTTTAAGAGAAAGAGGCTTTACGAAGGAAATCCAACCGCTGGAAATCAGTGTAAACGGAGCGTTCAAAGTGAAGTTGTGAGCAGTGTGGAGCGATGGATGACAGATGGCGAACACAGCTTTACGAAGACTGGGAGGGGCATCGGGAGAGTTATGCCATAATTTATGAATGGAGTGTGGTTGCTTGGACTAATGAGCCTGTTTTGCATTGTTCCGGCTGTTCATTTCAGATACAGATGAGGACTGATTTATCTGTGGATGAGCAAAATAATGAGAGTACAGTATTAAATACTTCAATAAAGTACAACCCAACTCAGTTTAGCTCCTGCTGCCTTTTTAAAAACATGTGCTAGCGTGCATGTGTGCTAACGTATTTTTTAATAGAGCGCATCTTTTACCATACCTGCGTCCAATAATTCAGTGTGTTATGTATGTGTTAAATACAGAAATAGCACCCGTCCGTAACTGACACTGCACCTCTTAATCAAAGTTGCCGACCACTGGCTGAGTAGAACATCTGAGATATGTTGGGCGCAGTGGGGGGCGGTTCATCAGAGGCACTTTAAGTTGTGGTGGGCTTAGTTATGACTCCCATTCAACCTAAATTTGAATGAGATTGGTTAATTCCAAATACCGTCACATTCCGGTTATAAGAGGGAATGCACACTTGTGCAAGATTATTTCAATTGTTTATGTTTACCTGTACTTCTCTTCTTCTATTTTCCAATTGAGTTTTACAGGTTATACGTCACATTCATGGTAGGGAAACAAACACAAAATTTGTTTTTCTATGGTCTCACAATGTTATATCACAAGAACTTAGTATTAATCAGAGGTGTTCAGACTTTACATGCACTATAATTATACACATTGGATATAAACTGGGACAATTTGAGATGTGAATGGAGAGAGCAGACTATGTTAACTTGATGACTATGTGCATGTAAAATTACCGTATTTTCCGCACTAAAAGGCACACCTAAAAGCCTTCCATTTTCTTAAAAGCTCACAACGCGCCTTAAAACCCGATGCACTTTGTGTATGGTTATTACGGTAATATGTCGACCCCCAAAATGGCTCCTTGCCAGAGACATGCTTACAACGCAGAGTTCAAACTTAAGGTGATCGGTTGACGCAGTTGAACATGGATATAGAGCAGTGGCAAGAGAGTTCAATGTTAACGAGTCAATGTTATAATTTGCTGTTGGTTAAGTGAACTGTGTCGCTGCTTTATTAGATAAGTTTTACTGACATCTGATCGTTCTGTAGCAACACCACTCAACAGCGAAGCTTAGCTGTTGTCGTTTGTTCAAAGCTTCTTTGATCTGTGACATGGTTGCGTCGGTGCTGATTGGTTGAACCACATGCGTACGTGCTCGAGCTCACGCTCGCACAGCAAAGAGCAGCGGACTATGGACTGCTGAGGCGCGCTTCACTCGAGTGGCATTGCTACAGTTCTGTTGGTATTTCCTTGATCGTAGCTCCATCTAGTGGATGCATTGTAGATTGTGTCTTATAGTGCGGTGCGTCCAATATATGAAAAAAATTACAAAATAGGCCATTCATTGAAGGTGCGCCTCATAATCCAGTGCGCCTTTTAGTGTGGAAAATATGGTAGAATGTTCAAATTCTAACAGGTGCAATCTTCAAACTGTACTTCTCTACCTTTTCCTTGCATGCGAAGGATCCGATCAGAGTTGAACCTCTGGCAGTGGACTTTTTCCTCCAAATTAAACGTTCTCCTTCCATCAATCTCTTCATCTGAGATAACATCCTCTTGATAACGCCGCCGTGTACCAGTCCGCTGAAGAGAGAGATAAATCATAGTTGGGTGGAAAAAAAAATATATATATATATATATATATATATATATATATGTGTATATGTGTGTGTGTGTGTGTGTGTGTTAGTTAATACAAAAGACATGACGAACCCATCAAAATTGCATTTAGACAATCTGCAAGAAATCTGGAATTGTGCAAAAATGAACTCATTCAGCGAGAGAGAGGGGGAGAAATGTTTGCAAAAAAAACTTTGTCACCAATGTTTTTTGCATTTGTGACAGTTCAAAGAAGATCTGTACAAAATTCTTTTTTAGGATGACTGACTGGATTTCAAATTGGAGAGCATCAGGCTGAGACATACATCTGAAAAAAAATGCCAGGTCTATGAAGATGTTCTGAACAATTCCTGTTTTCAGAACAAGTTTGCATAAATTATCACTGCCAATACATCCACTATTATAAGAACATTTACTGTGTTTCTGCCAGTTCATATCAACTGTGATCTTAAAGTGTTCAATGTTGAAGACTATGGATTTTGCACCAGATAGACTATCTTGCTTTGCGCATAGTCTCACATTGGTGAGGCGTTAGATCAGTTTCCACTATAAGTCAAGTGTTCCACTTCACGGGCCAGGGTCTCGAGATTTTTTTTACTCCATTGGACCAGTAAATATTTCATGTGCAGAATGCAAACATTGTTTCTGCAATTATTAGTCTTCATAGAATTGTTATGATTAGTCGTGTAGTTTGTTGTCGAAACAGACACCGTACAGTGGTAGTAAAAACCTGTGCAGATGCACAGATGAGACAAAAATGCTCAATTAAATTAAAATGTGTAATATCAATTTACTTTTGAATGCCCCTTTTCACCATTTAATCAACAGAATCTGACCACTTTGATCAATAAAACAGAAACAAAGTGGTGCACAAGAGGAAAAGAGAGTATAATGAGGCAAAAATCGCTGCCTGGTACATAAACCTAATACCTGTATATGAAACCAACACTCCTGCGAGTGTTGCACCAGGTACCAGTACAAGTTTTGTAAAGTGAATTTGAGCCGGCAAAAAACGACATGATACCCCAATTCCCAGATACTGGTACATGGGGCAAGAAAATATATCAAACAAATAAATACGAACATGAAAGCGCTCCAACTTTTTTGTCAGAACGGGCGGGCGCACAAAATGAGTATTATATGTATATATATATATATATATACACACACACACACACACACACACACACGCACCTGGCCGATCACGCATGAATTAGTTTACACAAAACGCTATTCAAATACTCGACATTCAATGATTAATCTTCCTTTTGTGTGCACACGTGCACCCTTTGTGGTTTCCATTCTCGCTGAAATTTCGAAATCTCCGAGATATGGCGAGGCCATGACAATGCGAGGCGAGGGTATTACTATTATGGTGACGCCACTCGAGCTAAGCGCGCCTCAGCAGTAGATAGTCCGCTGCTCGCTGCTGTGCGTGAGTCAGCGCGAACATGAACTCAAGCGCGTCTTGATTTCAACCAATGAGCGCCGACGCAACCTACGTCACACACGACAACAGCTAAGCTAAAATAGCCGAGACGACACTCGAAGTCAGACGGACACGTTTTTCTGCCAATCTGTGTGTTTCCCTTTTTGTCCAAATATATTTTTTACGACAAAAACTGTCTTGTCCACGGCGTCTTTTATTCGTTCCACTGGGGTTT